CACACGATAGGTAACACCAAATTTGAGAAAGCCATGTTAGACTTAGGAGCTTCTATAAATGTCATGCTATATTCCATTTATGCTTCTTTGAAACTTGGCCCCTTAATTAAAACTGGTGTGGTAATTAAATTAGGTGATAGATCAAATGCCTACCCAAAGGGTGTGATTGAGGATGGCCTTGTACAAGTTAATGAATTGGTTTTTCCTGCTAATTTTTATGTGCTTGATATGGAAAACAGTTACCAAACTAGCCCAATCTTGTTAGGAAGACTATTCTTAAAAACGTCCAAAACTAAAATTGATGTCTATAGTGGTACACTAACCAAGGAATTTGATGGTGAGATAATTAAATTTAATATCTATGGTGCCATGAAGTTTCCTATTGATGATAATGTTGTGTATTCTATCGATGTAATTGATGACCTGTCATGTGATTTTTTGAACTTGATTGGGAATGATGAGTCGGAGGTTGCTATTTGTAAGAGTTTGGAGAAAGAGAGTTGGGAATTAACTTTGATTCCTAGCTTGCGAGAAGCTGTTGCAATGTCGAATACTCTTCCAAAGTTACAACAAGCAGGTAAGGGTTCATACGTTGATTTGCCTGTTTCTAATGAAAAGTCTTTACCTTCTGTTTTGCAGGCCGCCATTTCGAATTTGAACCATCTCCCTAATCACCTTAAATACTTATTCCTTGGAGATGATAAAACATTGCCAATGATCATTTCCAACGAACTGACAACATTGTAAGAAGAAAAATTGGTGCAGGTCCTCAAGGAGTATCGAATAGCCCTTAGTTGGACAATCGCAGACATCAAGAGAATCAGCCCATCCACCTACATGCATCGCATTTTGCTTGAAGAAGGAAAAAAGTCTTCCCATCAATCTCAACGAAGATTGAATCCACCCATGATGGATGTAGTAAAGAAGGAGATCATCAAGCTTTTGGAAGTTGGCATGATTTTTCCTATCTCTGATAGTAGTTGGGTCAGTCCAGTTCAAGTGGTTCCTAAGAAGATGGGGATAATTGTGGTGAAGAATCAGAACGATGAATTGGTTACCACCCGTGTTTAAAATGGGTAGCGGGTTTTTATAGACTATAGGAAATTAAATACCGTAACCTGAAAAGATCACTTTTTTTACTATTTATTGATCAAATACTTGAAAGGTTAGCTGGTCATTCTTACTATAGTTTTCTTGATGGCTATTTAGGTTATTTCCAGATTGCAATTGCCCTAAAAGATCAAGAAAAGACAACCTTCACATGTCCATTCGAAACATTTGCTGATCATACAGCTCTGCGTTACTTGATGACAAAGAAAGAGGCAAAACCAAAACTAATACGATGGATACTTCTCCTAAGTGAATTCAACCTGGAAATCAAAGACAAAAGAGGAACAGAAAATAGTGTTACAAATCATTTGAGCTGTTTAACTAACATAGAGGTTGAGCTCCAATTGCAGGAAACCTTTCCTGATGAGCAATTGTTCTCGGCAAGCACATCGTTACCGTAGTATGTAGATATTGTAAACTTTTTGGTTATTAACACATAGCCTTCTGATTTGTCTAGGGCTCAAAAAGATAAGCTAAAGAATGATGCAAAATATTATGTATGGGACAATCCATACCTATGGAAGCATTGTGTAGATCAAGTGATTAGAAAGTATGTTCCTGAAAATGAAATTACCTCCATTCTCACATTCTGTCACTCTTATGCTTGTGAAGGACATTTTGGAGTAAAAATGACAGCAAGAAAAGTGCTTGAATGTGGTTTCTATTGGCCATCCTTGTTCGAAACGTTGATTCTTTTTCTAAGTCTTTCGAAAACTGTCAAAAAACAGGTAGTATATCTCAAAAGACTGAAATGCCACAAACTGCCATACTTGTTTGTGAAATCTTTGATGTTTGGACATTGATTTCATGGGACCATTTCCTGTATCTTTCGGTTTTATTTACATTTTGCTTGCTCTGGATTATGTTTCAAAACGGGTGGAAGCCAAAGCCACGAGGGCTGATGTTCTAA